CAACAGAATACTAAGACAGAAGTAGATACAAGAGTAGATTATTTCTGTGACAGGCCTGACTATTCTGCTTATGTAGATTTTAGGATTTCTGTTTAGCAATATATAGCTTAATGTGCCATATTTGTAGGGGTATAGGAGACAATGCTCAGAGTGACTGGAATTATGGAGGGCTGGCTCAAGAAGTTTCTGAGAGGAAAAAAAAAATAATTAGTAAGTAGCTTAGACAGTTCTTGTTATATTTTGACAAAGAATATGTCTGTTTTCTACCCTTGTTCAAAAAAATTCTGCCTGAAGCTAAAATGAAGAGTTTTGGATTAATGGCTTTGGTAGAGAAGATTTCAATGCAGCCTAGTATTGACTTTGTAATGACTACACATCTGCAGATATATAAAGGAAAGGAGCAAGGTAAACAAGGAAAAACAAAAAAATGGACAGTTTGAAAAGTTCTGCCAGGGCATGAATAGGAACTTAAGTTCAGTACCCAAGGAGATAAAAAGTTTAAAGAACAACCTTATGCTAAATGGAATAAAGGGGGTAGTTAAGGCCCCACCCAGCTAAGTTGCCAACTTGTAAGAAAGAATTAAAGAAAAACTTAAGCAGTGAGGGAAACCATTGAAAATTGAAAGCTGGTGAAAATTTATTTGTACAAGAAGCCCATGTTCCAGGCCCAAAAAGCAGAACATGACAGGTTCAGTTCATCCATGTGGTTCTAAGATCAGAGTTCATGGTAGGAAGAAATGGGTTTTGGATTTTCCATTGGTACGGGAAGCCACAGCTGACCCTGCAATGAAGGCCAAGTGACACCCACTGCATGAAGCTATGAAAATGGATTGCTTTAGAGGCTCCAAGATGTTAGACATGAGATACCTGCCATGCAGAGCTGCCAACAGGGAATGGAACTAGTCTAAGAGAAAGAACTGTGTTGCAGTCAATGGAACTGAAAGGAGTTTGACATGAGACATGGAGATGCAGAGTTTGGAGTTTGCTCAGCTTTCGGTCTTGCTTTGATCCAGTATTCACTTGCTATGCTCCCCCCTCCCTTTTGAAATGTTAACAAATATTCTGTCTTTCCATATTGCAAATATGAAATCTTCTCTTCGATTTTGATATTTACAGGTAATTACAGTTAACAGACTGCCTAAGTCTCAGAAGAATTTGAAATTTGAAAAGACTATGTATGATAAACCATGGGGACTTCTGTAGTTGGACTAAATACATTTTGCATTATGATAGGTCTACGGTCTATAGGAGATACAGAGTGGAATATGATATGAAAGAGAATGCCCAGCCCAGGCTCATAAAGTTTAATATTTGATCATCAGAGAGTGATGCTACTAGCAAGGTTTAAAAGGCATGACTTGTTGGAGGAAGTGTGTTACTGTGGTAGGATCTGAGGTTTCAAAAAGCCCATTCTAAAGCCCTATACCAATTGGAAGAGAGGTAGTCAATAAGAATACACTCTACAACACAAAGAACAATACAGAACCATCAGAAACTAGTCGTTCTTCAGGAACAAAACCTGAACATCACAACAAACATGAAGCAGAAGAAAACAATAGTAAAAATAACTTGGAAGATGATAGAGGCCCTTAATAAAGAAATGAAAAATTCCCATAAGCAAATGGAAGGCAAACAAAAAAAATTAGAAGAGATTAACAAATCCATTCAACAAAAAGCAATGAAACAAGAGAAAGAAATGGTTCAAGAAACTAAAAACTGAAGTGGAGGAAATAAAGAAAACACAAACAGAGGAACTTCACAAATGAAAAATATGGGTAAACAACACACACACAAGCATAAACAACAGAATACAAGATATGAAAGAAAGAATCTCAGGCATTGAAGATACACTAAAGGAAACAGATACATCGGTCAAAAAAAAAAAAATGTTAAATCCACAAATTCTTAACACAAAATACCCAAGAAATCTGGAATACTATGAAAAAACTGAATCTAAGGGATAGAAAAAACGGAAGTATACCTCCAAGGCACAGAAAATATATTCAACAAATCACAGAAAAAACTTTCCCAACAGGAAGAAGGACATGCCTAGAAAACACAACGAGCCTACAGAACACCAAATAGACTGGATGATAATAATAATAATAGTAGTAGTAGTAGTAGTAAGTCCCCTCACCATATAATAATCAAAACAGTAAACACAACAGAACAAAAAAAAAAAATTAAGAGCTGCAAATGGGAAAGGCCAAGTAACATATAAAGGCAGACCTATGAGAATTATAGTGATTTCTCAATAGAAACAATAAAGTCAGAAGGTCCTGGTCAGGTGTTATGCAGCCACTAAGAAACCATGGATGCCAGACCAGAAAACTATATCCATTAAAGCTTTCAATCACCATTAGTACTCTATTCATAATATCCAAAACAGGCAACAACCTAGATGTTCCTTAACAGAAAAAGGGGTAAAGAAAATGTGGTACATTACTCAGCTGTTTAAAAAAAAAAAAAAAAAAAAAAAAAAAGGTGGGAGGGGGTTGGCTGGAGACATAGCTCAGAGGTTAAGATCACAGGATGCTGTTCCAGAGGTCTTGAGTTCAATTCCCAGCAATCACATGGTGGCTCAAAACCATCTGTAATGAGATCTGGTGGTGTCTTCTGGCCTGCAGGCAGAACACTGTATACATAATAAATAAATCTAAAAAAAAAAAACAAACAAACAAACAAAAAGAATTTCCAGGCTGGAGAGATGGCTCAGAGGTTGAGAGCACTGCCTGCTCTTCCAGAGGTCTTGGATTCAATTCACAGCAACTACATAGCCACTTAAAACCATCTATAATGAGATCTGGTACCCTCTTCTGGACTTTAGGGAAACATCATGCAGACAGATAATAAACAGATCTTTTTTTTTTTTTTTAAAGGCTCATTATGAAATATGAAGATAAATGGATGAAAAAAACAACATAACTGAGTGAGGAAACCAAGATCCAGGGAAAAAATTATGGTTAGTGTCAGGCGTGGTCTTGGCAGGGCTACAATCAGAGCCAGCAGAGCGGACCTAAGTCCATACCTGTGTGGGGGAGTGTGGATGAGGGAAAGGCTAGCTATAGATAATAGAGAGACAGAATAAAGGTCAGGAGGCCAGATCAGTCAATACTGAAATGCCAGGAGTTTATTTTTTGACCCTCTTATATACCATAACTAAAAAGTGGAACACAGTATCATGTATATGGAACAGACTTTACTTCCCCACTTATTCTAAGGGTTCAGTAACCACACCTAAGCTCACACTTCTTGTTCCCTAGACTTGAGGTCAGGAGTAGCCACACCTCAGATTCAACTTCTCCTTCCTAAGCCTTTGAGAGTCAGGAGTAGCCATACCTCAGATTCAGGTCTGTTGTTATTTAGACTAAGACAGCCAAACATCCTATAGACAGCCAAACATCCATAGCCACACCTTTGATCTTTAGGTCTTATGACTGCTGAGGACAGCTTTGAACTCTCTGTCCTTATTCCAAGATGGAGTACAGCCATCTTTATGGGCACCCACAGGTTAGCCGTTAAGTAATTGATAACCAAGCTACAATTTATAGACCCAGAGAGGTTAGGCACAGAGGAAGGGTCTAGGTAATAGACATAGATCTCCCTGGGAAGGAAAAAAGAAATAGATTTTATGGATTGACTGGAGTGGAGAAAAAGAATGGGAGGATTGAGTGGGAAATAAGAGGTGAGATGAGATTGAGGGAGGGAACGGGCAGAGGGGGCATAAGGAGAGGAACAGCTAGAACTGAAGAGCATTTGAATGAAGGAATGAAAACTTGGTGTTGGTGAATATTCCTGTTATATATGAAAGCAATTCTGATGAAGTGTCCAAAGAGACCAAACTGTAAGTGACCATCTATTGTCATCATGAAGCTTCCAGTAATGGGTTGGAGTTACATCAAATTGAGTTGTTACATCTAATTGAATTGATGGTCAAAAGGGTTCCAAGGAAATTCCCAGGCTATTTTAAGACAACAGGTTGCTCTCCACTAACTGACAGCAAGGCTCTATTGCTAAAGACAACACTTAGGCAAGTCACTGTACATGGAGACATTGAGCTGCTGCCTACATGGAACCTTTATCCCCCAACTCCTCCCCATATTCTAGATCTAGTATGTTGATCTGTGTTTGGTATGGGAAGGTTCTCTGGACTAACAACCCAACCACAAAACCTTGGCTCTACAATTGGTCCTGACTGTAAAATAATGTAGTATGTTAGCAGTTATCAAAACTACTAGACATATTAAATGAAAAAATATCACCTTCCTTCATTGATCCTGAATAATTTCCTCATTAAAATAATTTCAAACCTATTTAATAAGGTGAGTACATTAGAAAACACAATAAAAATCAGTGTTCACTTTACATTTAAATGACAAAAACAATATTTTCCTTAATTCATTAGATGAAAACTTTCTAATTTTTTAGCCTGAATATTACTTGTTATCTCAAAATGCTATATTAAGTATTCTTAGTCCACAGCTGGTAGTGTTAAGTGATTAGATTATAAGAATGTTGATGAGTTTCTTGCTACATAGCTATTAAAAGGAGGGCATAACCAAAGAAAGTATGAGATAAACCTGTGAAAGGTATACTTTTATTTTAATCCATGATTCCTTCCTACATAGCTCTCTGCTGTGTGATTACCATGAAACAAATATCTTTGTTTCACAATGAGTTACTTGCATTGGTATTTTGCCTCAGGTACAAATACACAAAGAGCTGGGCAGTGAGTGTTGGCACAAGCCTTTGACGCCAGAATTCAGAGGCAGAAACAGAAAAATTGCTGTGAGTTTGAGTCTGAGGCCAGCCTTGTCTACAGAGTTTTAGGGCAGATCCCAAAGCTACACAGAGAAACCATCTCTGGGAAAAACAAAAACCACAAACACTTTGGAAAGAAAATTCTGAAATTATTGACTCAACTACTAAGTTTTCTCACATATTTTGTTACACTGACAAAACAACAACCTTATTTTAAAAATATAAATTAAAACACTCACCTGGGTTTCATATAAGTGAGCAATATGAAACTGAACTGTAATAGATGAGGGAGAAAACAATTTTCAATTCAGCCAAATTTAAAGTAACAATACAGTAATATATATTGATAATACCACAAACACTTGAACACATTTTAATAGGTAATAATTAAATACTGTAAAATCATAAGCCTAACAAAAATAATTAGAAATCATTAAATAAAAATTTTAGTGCAGTTATTTATAGTAATACAAATGAAAAAGGAAGAAAAACTGTCAGTGGATATGAGTAACTGAATTCAAGTTCCCAGTGTGGAAGGACCAAAACATGTGGATTCCTAACGCTCCTTGACAAGGCAGCCTAGCTGACAACCTTCTAGTTCAGTCATAAACGTGTTTCTCAAGAAGAGACCCACATTCAATGTGCATGAGCCACACAGACCACACATCTATTCACAACTAGTAAACAAAGGGCAGGGAAACAAATAAACAAAACCTTGTTTCAAATCAAAAGGGCAAATTTTTAAATCTTTTTAAAATTTCTCTTACTTACTTATATTTTATACATTAGTGTCCTGGATATATACCTGCACACCAGAAGAGGGTATTAGATCCAGTTATAGATAGGAACTGTTCCTATGGAAAAGCAACTAGTGCTCTTAACCACTGAGACAAATCTCCTGATCCAAATTTTTAAGTTCTTCTATCTTGACATTTGGCATTATAAAACTTTTCTATTGACATTTGGCATCAAAAAAGTGCTCTTGCCTTAAATTCATGAAACACAACTTTTTCATGCCCATCTTACATTCACATTAAATTCAATATAAAGGGTCTAGAGATATAGCTCAGCAGTTAAGAGCACTGGCTGCTCTTCCAGAGGTTCTGAGTTCATTTCCCAGCAACCACATGGTGGCTCACAACCATCTGTAATGGTGCTCTCTTCTGGTATGCAGGCATACATAAAAGAGGAACACTATATATATATATATATATATATATATATATATATATATATATATATTAAATAAATAAATCTTTTTTTTAAAAAATTCAATGTAAAGAACATCTACTTAAGAAAGTAAAAGTTCTGAGGAGAGACTCAACAGTTAAACATTCATCCCCCCAAGGAGGCATAATAGAATTACAGTATGAAAAGAAAGTATGTGGCAGCCTATAATTCCAGTGCACAGAAAGCAATCTGGTTACCTGACAATCAGCAGATGCAATCTGGCTACAAGGAAGTTTAATTAAAACAACAAAACAAAACAAAAACCAAAAAACTTCCCCCCTCAATATAATACAAGAGAGACACAACATCAAACTCTTGCACAAAACACATACAGATATACATACACATAAAAAATATGCAGTCATTCACAGTAGTATACACATACCCACAAAAGCATATAGATCAGAATACTAGTAATAATAAGAAATTATTTCTAAATTCATAGGATTAAACGTAAAAATAAAGACCAACTAGCTAAAAACACACAAACTCAAAGGCAAACTATTTTGCAGGTATTTTCCCTATTTCAAGAGCTTAAATAATTCAACAATAAGGATCACTATAGCAAACAACAAAAATGCAAACATCTGAACTTAAATGTGTTCTATTTTTTCCTTTTTCTACTTATGAGAACTTTTCTACTAAAGAACTTTCCAAATTTTATAAATTATGTTTGTGTATATATGTCTTTTCTAAGAAGATAATCTTAAATGTAAATATAAAATTCTTGTTGCATTCTTTATACCTGCAACCTTTCTCTTTCCTCTGTTTTATCTTCCTTCACTCCTCAACACTGATATTCTTTGTTGTTATTTATTTATTTGTGTATTTGGTTTCTGAGACAGAGTTTCATTGTATAACAATCTTGGCTGTTCAGAAACTCACTCTGTAGACCAGGCTGGGTTTGAACTCACAGAGATCCTGCCTGGCTCTGCCTCCTGTGTTGGGATTAAAGACATGTGCCACAATGTACAGCCCTTTCTTAATAAAATAAAGAGTCTAATAAAGAGCTGGAGAGATGACTCAGTAAAAGCACAGGCTGTTCTTGCAGAGGAAAACAGGATTAAAAGTGAAAAGACAAAAATCTGAAACTCTACTTATTTATGTATGTACACATATGGTGAATGTAATAGGAAAATAATTATCAGAGGTAACTAGAACAGGTTTATATTGTGACCTTACATCAGTTTAGTCTCAAAGTCCCATTGTGACTTACTGTCATAGCATGCAGTATCATCCTTCATAAGGGAAATATATTATTAAACAGTTTATTCTTCACGTATTTAAAGCAGTATAACTTCATGTATTTAAAACAATATAACTGTTGAAATAGAAAATGTTCAAACAAGTCAATTTTCAGTGAAAACTGACAAATATAAACAGCAATATAAATGAAATTTTATTCCATAATATTTGTTCCAAATTCTGTATAAATATTATACCAAACAAAAATTGTATAAAGCTGAATTTCAATGTCATGATTCTTCTTAAAAATATTAGTCATCCCTTAGGCCCAAAAGCATTATAAAAAACGTACACACATCGCTAATTCATAAAAATAATAAAATAAAAGTAAAAATAAGCAGCCAGGCAGTGTGGCACAAGCTTTTAATCCCAGCACTCAGGAGGCAGAGGCAGAGGGAGCTCTGTGAGTTCAAGAACAGCCTAGTCTACAAGAGCTATGCAGAGAAGCCCTGTCTTGAAAAACCAAAATAAAATAAAACAAAATAAAATAAGAAAAATAAAAGCTTATTTAAATTTAATATTCTTTATAAACAAGATTTAAAAATACTCTCAAATATATAGAAATTTCAAAGATAGTCATAGTTCCTATCATATACAAATCGTAAGACATTACAAGAGAATTATTACCAATAAAGACAACAGAAAGGGAAAACATTATTGTAATACTACAAAGATATCAATCATTTTTCTACTGTTTGAGAAACCAGACATTTCTCTGTATTATTTTTTAATGATACCCAAATGAGTTTAAGTACAGAAACAAAATCAGTATTTAAAATTCAGACTCTCTTACTCAAAAGATAAAAAAAGTACTTACTTTCAACACTAGACAAAGTACAGGTATTACAGTCGATCAAAGCTAGCTGAAAATGCTGCAAAAGGGAAGTGAAAATACTTATAATGTTAGATATACATAAAATTGCCTCTCTTCATTTAACTTTTTAAAACTCTGTAACTGCCACTATAATATAAAACATTAATTATTAAAAATGAACTGATTAATGTTGCAATGCTATCAAGAAATTCTCAAAATATTCATGTAAATATTTTAGCACATAAAATACTTTGCCTTAATATTTTAATCATGAGATGAATAAAACATTAAATTATGACAACTGCTGAATAGCCATGAGCTGGATACCTCAAAGCCAATATTTTTGTTTATCAAATCAAATTTGAAGAAAGTTAATATGAACTTTCTATGCCAAATCACATGATACTGTACAAATTAACATAATGAAATGTCATAACTAATTTTTCAAAATCACTACATTTTCATATATTTCAAATATGTAACACATTAATCCAGCGTAACCTGTACAAAGAAACATACAACCAGTTCATAGGTAAAATAGCTATTCATACACACAGACACACACACACACACACACACGTGCTTTCCGATTAGCAAACAGATCTCTATGTATAGATTCAATTCCCCTGGTACAAAATGATCTAGGAGGCATATCTGACCTTTCTTTCTACTTCTAGTTTTTATGTTCACTTAGCAGTAAGACTGGTTTATTACTTTAAATTTCCTACTTTTTTTTAATGTTTTGTGAATATTTTTATGTGCATCGGTATTGCCTACATGTACTTCTGTGTACCTGTTACACATTTCAGAGTAGCTCTTCTCACCTTGCTCCTACCCTAAAATCCTCCAGTACATAGATAGCCCTGCACCCCACCCCAGCTACTCATTCCCTTTATAATCTTAGTAGTTTCACTTTCTCTTGTCTTCATCTCTTGTTCTTCTCCCCTACCCCCCCCCCATGCCCACTCTATCTCTGTGTTCTGCTCCTACTTCTCCCATATCTAGATTCAGTGTGCTGGCCATATAAAAATCTATTTTCTATCTCTGTTCTGGACCCTTCCAGATGCCTCTTTCTCATACCTACAATAAAAATCTTCCCCAGGAATAAACAAATACAGGCCAAGCATTCATAACACATAAAGTAAATATATTAAAAATTTCTTTCAAAACAATTAAAGGTAACCAATGACAAGACTTTGAGGTCAGATATCAGCCAAAGGGGAAAAGAACAACTGCCACTTGCTTTTGAAAAACAAGTGTCCTTCCTTTCTGTATTTCCTCCTCTACTGAATAAGCCTTGCCTCGTCCAGACACTTCAAATGGACTTTTGATCTTTTTCTTTGTCATCTCAAATATAATTCTGACACAACTAAGGATAACCAGGAAGAAATTAAATTACCCAGCCTCTCTCTCAGATTTTAGTTTCTGCTGTTGTTATTTTTTGTGACTAGGTCTTGACAATGCTACCCCATTTACCCCACGCTGAACTCAAAGTCACAATCCATCTTACCTTAGAGCTATGATCACTCCCTGCTCCCTCCCAGGTAGCTTTAATCTCTCCCGTCTAATCTCTCCCGTCTATCATAAAAATAGATGGCTAAATCTTTAGAGCAGGTCTACCTACATCCAAGCAAGAAATTCTGATACAGACTAACAGAAAGATCAAAGAAGCTACTAAGGCAATTATTGCGGGTAAAAGAGTAAGCCATGTCTCCTGATGACATAATCTCTTAAAACTATACACTAAACTAGGCAAGGACCCAGGCATTTTAATCCCAGCAAAACAGAGGCAGAGGCTGAAGCAGCCATTTTTATTAAGTTCCAGGACAGTCTGCTCTGTTTTCTTGCTGATTTTAAGTATTGTCATTTATTTTTATATTTAAGAATGTTTGTGACATATGTGTACACCTGTTATATACTCATCAAATCCCCCAGAACTGGAGTTACAAAGGGTTGTCAGTTCCCTTATGGATACTGGCAATCCAATTTTAACGAATCCTTTAAAAGTGAGGCAACAAATCTATAAATGCCATTTCTCAAATCCCCTGAAAAGTCTAAAAAAAAAAAGAATAAAACAAAAACAAAAACCAACAATACTTCCCCTGAGTTCTTTTGTTACCATGTCTCATGACCATGATAATGCATGGATGAGAGAGGTGATTTCAAGAGGATTGAAGAAAAATTGAAATGTCAAATGTTTCAATTATGGCAAACAAGGTCATCTTAAAAAGGACTGTAAACAGAGTACTCCTAGAAACAATGTTTTTCTAAGCATAATTCCAACAGAATGTCCCTCCCTTCTGGAATATGAAGAAGGTGTGGCAAAGGCAGACATGAGCATAAGTCAACAAGAGACATTCAAGGTAAGCCTTTGCCTTCAAGAAAACTCTGAGTCAATCCAGTTTCCTATCACCCTGGAGGAAACTCCTCCCCAGAGCAATTAAAAGAACCTAATGCCCATTGTAAAAAAAAAAAAAAAAAAAAAAAAAAAAAAAAAACTATACTGCTCTGGATGATAGAACAACTTCAGAAAAGACTACAAAATTTTCAGAATATAAACATTAGATTTGAACAAGAGACATTTTGACTGGAAGAAACCACAGCTCATCAACCAGGGTGACTAGTCAATATAAACTAACTTATCTAGGACTAACAAATACTTTTCATTTGATCATACATTAGATGCTTAAAGGAAATCTCCCCCAAAGTTAGAGTTCTGGAAGTGTTTTAATTTTAATTTTTTCATCATGAAGAACTTAAAGACCTTTGGACAAATAAGCTTCCAAAGAAAAAGTGGTAACTATCAGAAAAATTTACCAAGAAGGGGAATAATCTAACCTAGTTCGAACTCTGAAGGCTCCAAAAAGATGATGGGATGCCACAAGGATGATTCCACCAGGACTATGACAATACCTCTAAGCTGTAAAACAACAACTAAAGATAGGATTTGGACTCCAAATTGCTCAGGACAATTTCCAGGTGGATACTGAGATGATCCAGTCTCACAAATACTGCTCAGATAATTACAAGGTGTCTAAATGAGGTGATCCAGCCTCATAAACTAGTCTAGCCAGGACCTTTCACTTTCCCATTTTGCAGAGACTGGATAAAAACTGATATAGTTTGATAGTTAGCCCAATGTTTTTGATCTCCTGAAATGCCCCCAGATAGCATGAGGCCCACATTCCCAAGAGGTAGGGTGGGTGGTTTTGGTCTTTCATTCTATTATGGATATTTGTCATTGTTTAGGAGGTTACAAGTTGTTATTGGTAATAAAAAAAACAAAAACAAACAAAAAAAAAAACAGTAAAAGCTAAACAAAGGAGATTAGATTCAGGGTTTGTCTTGAAAACAAAAATGGGATGCAAATACGATAGGATAAACAGGTAAATTACTGAATCTCCTCTTTAAAAAAAAAAAGAAGGGTATAAATAAGATAAAAGGGCAGATTGGCAGATTATTGAATCTACTTCTAAAAAGTACACATATGATGAGATTAAAAGGTAGATTATTGGATCTACTTTCAAAAAAGCAACTATTAATTTTAAATATTTTACATTGAAAATTTTGTATACTGATACAAATTTGAGATTAATTTTGTTAAAACTACTTACTATACTATACATACTATATATACATTTCTACTCTTATTCACGGTACCTATATGATTCATGTAACAATGTAAGGCAAATTTCTAGTCCTTAGAAGTTATTACCACCAACTATTTAGGATAATAAGGAAATGAAGATTAGTAATTACCCAACTATTACAGTCAAACTTGTGGTCATATTAGGTGGATTTTAAAGGTCAAATAGATACATTTTAGATAGACAGGTCATTCTCAAACACTTCAGAGAGATCTACAGAATATGGCATTTAAGATGTTTGAATAACATAGGTTCTTTTTTTCATAACAATTACACATGTCTGCTCCTAGAAGCACCAGTCTACTTCAGAAAAGGTGATTAGCATCGAAGAAACTGTACATGGAGTTTACTTTCTGTAGGTCATTTTGTTCTTGATTTTCCTTTTCTTAGAGCACATTTGTTATTCACTGTTTTGTATATAGTTTTGTATTAAGCCTAAATCTTTTCTTTAGACTAAAAGGGGAATTGTAGTGAGATAGTCTTTCTGTGGCACTGACCACGCCCATTGGGGGGTGGAGCGATGGACGGAAGTGACCTGTGGAAGGAAGTCGGAGGGAGAGCCGGGAAAAGCTCTCTTGCTGGCGTGACTCGGACAGGAGAGGATCGGGTTGAATTTCCTGGTGTTCATCTAAGTTGTAAGTTATTTCTCCATGAATAAACATCTATTCGGCCTATTTGTTTATCCTGATCCTTACTTAACCGCAATAACTTTCTTTATGACCAAAGCACCCACTGGCCAAAAGTGCCCTTGCCTCAACTGCTAATAGTATGCTGTCCAAATTTGGCAAGCAGGACATAATAGAGGAAGACTGCCAAATCTTGTCAACAAAAGGCAAGACAGGTCTTCAAAAATCCTGCTTCACTGAAAAGCCTGTCAGAGATGCTAGAACAAAAATAGATGTTCCCTGTTACAAAGGTACCTTGGGTAACTGTGCAGGTAGCCAACTATTTCTGTCATTTCTCACATTTTTTGAAGTCACTTGTTAGCACTTACTCAGTTAATACTATTTCCTTCTTGGGGCTCTGATAGATTTGAAGACTAGATAAAGTTAACAGTTTTCCAAGAGGTATAAAGTGCATGAAGTTAAGAGCTATCAAAAGATAGCTTTTGATGATAATGCAAGTTAGGATAGAAAGTGAATTAGATATAAGGCTTTGGAATCACTAAGGATAGACAATGCAGTATTTTGTCAAGTTGTCAAGTCAAATTACGTGTGTGTGTGTGTGTGTGTGTGTGTGTGTGTGTGTGTGTGTAGCATATAGTTATTATATAATTTTCTTATATTAGTTATAACCGTTTCTTAAATTTTAGGCAAAAAGGTGGAAATATGGTATTTTGTTTGCAATCTAACAAATAAAGCTTGCCTGAAGTTCAAGTGTATAGCTAGCCACACTAATTAGCCATAAACACTAACTAGGCAGAGGAGGCACACACTAATCAGATTACAAGAGAAGGTCAGTTCAGACACCACCTTCCCTATTGCTAGGTATCTTAGCCATAGGGCCCTGCATGGACCCCCAAGGCACCTTGAGCTAGCCTGAAGCTGTTGGCAGGAACTCCTTGCCAAGTCTTTTGTTGGTACTCTTCCCATGACAACACATCTTGAGACACACACCTCGTGACAACACATCTCGTGACACACACCCTGTGACAACCATACCTCGTGACAACACAGGGAGGAGCTAAGCCAAAAAATTCCTGTAATTTTCCACTGTGCTATAAGTTGGTATTTAAGCCCGTTCTTGCCCCTCAATAAACGGCATTCGGCATTTGGTGTTCCAACTTTGCCAATGAACGAGTGACCCGCTGTCTTGTCTTTATTACAATCTCTAGGCCTTCGCCCGACTCGTGGTACAGATTGTAGCGCGGGTGCTACATTAGCTGAGGTCCTTATGGATTCCTGGGAGTTTCCCTAGAATCAGGTGTGATGCAGAGATCCACATACAAACACGAGACTGAGTTATAGGAGTACAGTTGAACAGAAGAAGGGGGAATTATATGAGCAAGGAAGGTAAAATTATGATGGGGAAACCACAGACACAGTCTATCTGAACTAGTAAGAGTTCACACAGTATGGACTGACATCTAGGGAGCCTTCATGTGGAGGACAGTTTTGTAGCCTATTTGTAGAGCCACTTGGCAGTAGGATAAGGATTTATCCCTAGTGCATGAGCTGGCTTTTTGAAGCTCATTGGACTCCATATGATGGGATGCCTTGCTCAGCCTTGATGCAGGAGGGTGAGGTTGGCCCTTCCTCAATTTGATATTCAAGGCTTTGTTAACTTCCCTGGGAAGGCCTTATTCTTTCTAGGGAGTAAATGAACAAATGTGGTAGGGAGAGTGTTGAAAAGCAGGAGGAGGAGAGGGAGCGAGAACTGTGGTTGGTATATAAAACAAGTAAAAATAGAATAGAAAAAAAAAAGTGGCAGGGTGGTGATGGCTCATGTTTTTAATCCCAGTGCTCAGGAACCTGTCATCATACAGCCTACATCCAGTAATGTCAACATTTTAAAATAACATTTAACAGGACAGACACATAAAGAAAGAGATAGAGAATGAATATTTATAATACACCTTCAAAACTAAAACTTACCTTTAGACTAGACTCATAGTCTGTGTTTACTTTGAACATAAAACCAAGTCGTAAATGAATTTCCTTGGCTCTGCAAAAACTGGGGTCAACATAAAGGACATCTTGAAATGCTCTAATTGCCCTAGAAGAAAAGGTACATTTAAAAAATATAAAAAGGTTATGTATGCAACCATGTATGTATGCTATATTATAGAAGAAATATTTTCATTTCCTAGTATGCATTGAAATATGGATGTTATTTAAGGAAAACCTATGAGTAAGCAGTAAAAAAAGAAGAAAAGGCAGCAAGCAAAGCTCAATCCAATTTCCTCCAAAATTTTCCAATTATTCAATGTGATGGCTATTCTTGATTGTCAACTTGACTATCTTGACTAACTCAGATCTCTCTGAGTTTGAGGCTACCCTAGTCTACATAGTGAGTTCCAGGACAGCCAGAGATACACAGAGAAACCCTATATCCATAACCAAAAATTTAAAAACAATAACAAAAACAATGGTAGTTGGATAAGAATATGAGGATGTTAATGTTACTTATCTGCTATTCTGGAAACTTTATTTTGCCTTTTATATCCAGAAAAAGTGTTGATTTTATGTTTTCCTCTTGGGTTTCCTATAGTCTCTAATATTTAGAAAGCAAATTTCACATCAATAAAAAAAAAAAAAACCAAGGAAGAGGAATGAGACCAAATATATGTAGCCCTCATAGAAACTCACAGAAATCTGCATGCCTTTGGGATTAAAGACATGTAGAACTTCATTCTGGATGTATCACACTTTTTATGAATAAAGGATTGATATTCAGAAGTGGAACATGGTGGTGTACCTCAAATCCAGCACTTGGGAAAAAGAGGACAAAGTTTCATTATCTACCTTCTGACTTTCCCAAAACTCAAACAGGAGTAAGGAGCCAAAATGCCACTTCCATTTAACAATATCTTATCTAATTACATAATGTTCAATGATGAATCATCACTAACAGTAAACTTCTGAAAAAGATTCAGATAGGAATTTAAAAATAGGGGCTAGAGAGATGATTCAGGTTAAGAGCACTGGCTGCTCTCCCAGAGGTCCTATGTTCAATTCTCAGAAACCAAATGGTGGCTCACAACCATCTGTAATGAGATATGGTGCCTTCTTCTGGCATGAAGGGGTACATGCAGGCAAAACACTATACACATAATAATCTTTTTTAAAAAAGGAAGAATTTGTAACTAAGAGAGTGGAGAGGTGGCTTAACCATTAAGAGCACTTGTAGCTCTTCCAGAGCACCCTGACTACTAACAACATATATGGCAGCTCTTACAGTCCAGTCCTATTCAGGGGCTCCCAAGCCAGCTTCTGACCTTTGCAGGCACGGAATGCACATGGAATACTCACAAATATAAGTTGAGGCAAATGGCAATGCTAACACTTGACTGTAACCACAGTCCAAGAAAATTTCATGCCCTCTTCTGACACTGCAGTGCATCATGTGTACAAACCCATTACATCATTATTTTTCCCTATTTTAAAAACTTATTGGTCAGATGATGAGCTTTCAGGAAGCAACCAGATGCTAATACCTCTAGCCAAATCAATAAATTAACACACAAGTTAAACACTTAGGTTACAAATATAGCACTATTGAAAAGAGATTTTAAAAAATCCTTTGGTGGAAGGCCTGTGTGAAGGAACGGTATCTTCTCATGGCTCCTCTGAGAATTTTCTCTTCCCATTGTAGCTGTGTCTATCACAACACAGCCAAGAAACAAAAGAACTAATCATAATAACACAAATGTTGAAATCTAATAGTAAATAAAAATTTCCTCTTAAACTATTTCTCCTGGTTATTTGTATCCTAACAAAAAACTTATCAATATTTGTGTAGGCAGATAAAAGGAGTGAATAATCAAAACTGATTAGAAACCTAGAAAGGTAAAAATGATACTACTAAAAATACAAAGTTACATAAATTAATGTAATACATTTTACTGAAAAATCCTAGCACTGAGTGAACTTACCATTGAAATGCATTGTAGTAGAAGTAGACCAAACCAAGACCATACAGAAAGGCAGCATTCTAGAAAGCAAAATAATTTTTAATGTTTTTTTTTTTCAATTTGTTACATATATTATGAAATTAAGCCAGGCATTGGTGGAACATGCCTTTAATCCCTACACTTGGGAGACAGAGGCTGGAGGATCTCCTTGAGTTTGAGACCAGCCTGATCTGCTAGTTCCAGGACAGGCTCCAAAGCCTCAGAGAAACCATGTCTCCAAAAGCCAAGAAAAAAAAAAAAAAAAAAAAGAAAGAGAAAGACAGATGAAAGAAAGAAATTAAACAATGGAGAGAAAGGAAACAAGGGCAACAAGTAAGAGAATTAAAATTTGGACTCACTCTTGGTTAAATGACACCAATGGAATACGTTTTTAATTCTTAATTTGGCACAGATGTGTTAAATACATGCAGTACTTCATGGACAGTGCTGTGCAATCCCAAAACACAGGACAAACAGAAGAGAAACTGACCATGTAACAACAATGAATCAATGGTGGGAGGGTCTACTCCTGGACAGAATTGCTTAAATTTGTTTATTTCCTAACTTGTATTAATCTAAGCCTCATATTAGTCCACCAGGTATGGATGTGGAGGTGTCATTGGATGAATCACAGTTTGGTCAAATAATCCTTCTCTACTTTTTATTATTAACTCTTTAGTTTGGCTCATCCAAGACTATATTGGCTAAGCCAAGACTACTGATAAGGCCACATACAAAACTGGTGACACAAAAATATTTTGTTTTCCCATGTCTATCACCATGCACAAAACAAGTTCAAATGGATCAAAGACCTCAACATAAATCCAGCCACATTGAACCTCTTAGAAGAGAAAGTGGGAGGTACCCTTGAACAAATTGGTACAGGACACTGCTTCCTGAAAATAACTCCAGGGGCACAGACACTGAGGTAGAATAAATCAGACCTCTTCACACTGATAAGCTTCTGTAAGGCAAAGGACACAGTGGACAACACCAAACGGACTGGGAAAAGATTTTCACCAACCCTATATCTGACAAAGGGCTGATCTCCAAAATATACAAAGAACTCAAGAAACTAGTCAACAATACACCAAATAACTTTATTAAAAAATGGGGTACAGAACTGAAGAATTCTCAATAGAGAAAATCAAAAATGCTGAAAGACACTTAAGAAAATGCTCCACATCCTTAGCTATCAGGAAAATGCAAATCAAAACATCTTTGAGATACCATCTTACCCCTGCCAGAATGGCTAAAATTAGAAACACTAATGATGACTTATGCTGGAGAGGATGTGGAGAGAGGGGAACACTCCTCCATTGCTGGAGGGAGTGCAAACTCATACAGCCATTTTGGAGATCAGTATGGCATTTCCTCAGGAAAATGGGAATTAGTTTACCACAGGACCTGGCAATCCCCCTCTTAGGCATATACCCAAAGGATTCACATCCATGCATCATAGACATCTGTTCAACTATGTTCATAGCAGCACTATTTGTAATAGCAAGAACCTGGAAGCAACCTAGATGCCCCTCAATTGAAGAATGGTTAATGAAGATGTGGCACATCTACACAATGGAATACTACTCTGCAGAAAAAAACAATGGTATCTTGAAATTCGCAGGCAATTGGATGGCACTTGAAGAAACCATCCTGAATGAGGTAACCCAGTCACATAAAGAGGAACATGGTTTGTACTCACTCATATATGGATTTTAGACATAGAGCAAAGAAACGCCAGCCTTTAATTCACACTGCCAGAAAAACTAGGATACAAGCAGGAATCTAAGCAAGGTTCCTTACAGAAGGGTAAAGGAACAAGATCTCCTGAGCATATTGGGAGTACTGGGGCATTGAGTGGAGAAGGAGTAAGAAGAAAGAGAAGGGGAGGAGAGGAGAATATGTGGGACTAGGAAGATTGATTCTAGGGGGAAAGGCTACCATAAATGCCCTTCCCTGATAGTGAGATTGATGACTAACTTATCCACCAACATAGAGGCCTCATCTGTAGCTAACAGAAACAGAAGCAGAAACAGCTAAACACTGAGCTGAACTCAAATGCAGAGAGGGAGGACAAGAGCAGGCTACAGAAACCCACAGAGACAGCTGACCTGAACAAGGGGGAACTAATGCATGGGACTGACTCAGACCCCCTGAACATGGGTATCAGCTAGAAGGCCTGGGCAGTCTAACGGTTCTCTGACAGTGGAACCAGAAGTATCCATGGTACACAAAAGGACTTTGGGAGCACGTTCTCCATATAGGGATACTCCCTTAACCTAGAGGCAGGAGAGAGGGCCTAGTCCCTACTCCAAATGACAGATTTTGGTGATCCCTCCTGGAAGACCTCACCCTTCTTGTGGAGTAAGGATGGGGGGAATGGGTTGAGAGGGGGGTCAGGGAGCATGGGAGGGAGGGAGAGAGAGGGAACTGGGATCAATATATAAAATAAGAAACATAATAAATATATAAAAAAATACAAGTTATTGTTTATATATAAAAAAACAAAATTTTGTTTTTAGCATATAAAATTTCTTCTTCCAAGTCTTTGAGAAGCTCCTACAAGTCTCTAGTAATTGTTACATAATAATTACCCCAAGAAGGTGTCACTATCACCAACAAGAACACTCACCCCAGGAAGTCAACTAAGATTTCCCCAAAGTTTTAGGACTTTTCCAGTCACCTTGTGAAACAAAGACTGGGATAATAATCAACTAAGAGACTAGATGATGGCTCAGAGTTACTAGTCTTAAAGAGCACTTGAGTGCAATTCCCAAAACCCACATCAGATGGCTTACAACCACCAGAATCTATGTATTAAAGACCCAATGCTCAATTCCTGTCACCTCAGGGACCTGCACTCAACTATACATTCTCACCCTGGGACCCAAACAAACACATACGTTTAAAAATAATAAATCAGATTAGGTATAATGATTCAGAACTTTACAGCAGATCTTTGAGTTTGAGATCAGTCTGGTATATAAAGACAGTTCCAGGAAAGGCAGGACTATTGTGAGAAATCTGTTAGCTCTGTCTCAGCACTTGTCACGCCAACTCTGCTAATAAAGTTAAACCTTGTATTAGAAAGTAGAGTCTATGTTCAGCAGGCTAGAATAAACCAAAGTTTTTGGCTGACCCAGATTAGGACAGAGAGACACAGGAAGGAATAGGGAGGGGCTTAGAAAGATTCACAGGCCTTTTTGATCTGGGGAGGTGTGAAAGCAGGGTCAGCTGATCTTTTTGTCATTCTGTGGATCTATCAGGTTTCTACCAATATCTGACTCCCAAGTTTCTATCGATAAAAGAATAACTTAGGGGCTGGAGAGATGGCTCATATATTAAGAACACCAGTTGCTCTTTTACAGGTCCTGAGTTTAATTACCAACAACCACATGGTGGCCCACAACTATCTATAATAGGACCTAATGCCCTCTCCTGGCATAAGTTATACATTCAGATAAAACACTCATTCATAAAATAAATAAATAAATAACCCTTAAAAATTGTAGTAAAAAAGGAACAACATAGATAAATGGCAGATGCCATATGTAGCACTACTTTCTTGTAAGGACTGCCAGCCCACCAAAAAAAAAAAAAAAAAAAAAAAAAAAAAAAGACATGAAGACATTAATTATTAAAGCTTGGCCCAACTAGCTCTTATAACATAACCTGTTTTTATTAATCTTAACTCTGTCATGTTTCTTTTACCTGTCTTCCATTCTGTATCTCTGGCTCTCTCTGCCTCTCTTCTTCCCAGAGTTCCTCTCTCCATGGAAATCCTGCCTATTCTCTCCTGCCTCACTATTGGCCATTCAGATCTTTATTAAATGAATCAAAAGGTGCCAAGGACAGACATCATCACAACAGAAAAAAAGATTATCCCACACAGAGTTATACAGAGAAACTTTCTCCAAACAACAACAACAATAATAATAATAAAATACACAAATGTTCATCAAGATTGTTTTATTATGAGTTCCTCTCACTGTACCCTTTCCTGTACTGAACCTAAACCTCAAGTCATTAGTCCAATAATAGGATGAAATGTTTGATCGTCTATATCTTTCTAAGGGCCTGATCTTAATTTTTCACCATTACTTTTTCTTTTAATTTCTGGGAAAACTTACTATATCTAATTTGTTGTTATACCTGTTCCCACATACTCAGAACTCTGGTAATATATTTGTCATATCCGACAGAAAAATGGAGGAAGTATTTTCATGCCATTCCAGAGATGAATACACTACAGTCCAAAACTGCTCTATTCTAGCCTGTTGATATTCATGAGACAAGATAGAATACCTCACAAAGAAAAGGTCAAGAAGTAGTCATCCTGCAGTGACAATTTTTTATCTCAATGACATGTGAAGGAATGATGCCTATTACGTGGTACTTTCCTACTTGACATAAACAGCTCTCAGGTTCTCAAGCTCAGAATATCCAGAATAAATGGTAACAAATAAATATAGTCGTGGAACCTACTTGTCAATTGCAAATTAGTTTTTATTAAAATGCACTTAATAATCCAACCTAAGAAATAATACTAATTCAATTAATGTCATAAATATAATTATTTTTTTTCCTTCCCCCTACCCTCCCCCCTCCAGACAGGGATTCTCAGTGTAGCGCTCACTATCCTGGAGCTCACTCTGTAGAGCAGGCTGGCCTCAAACTCACAGAGACCCATCTGTGTCTGTCTCTCAAGTACTGGGATTAAAGGTATGTGCCACCACCACCTGGAATTTACTAGTTCTTTTTTAAAAGATGGTGCTTTGGAGAAATAAAAAAGGAACATGTAACACAATTAAACATTAAATTTCAAATAAAATTTCAATCAGATGTGTGTACTAAATCATCTACATCTATAATAATTTTATCTTTTCCTGTGTTCATTTTTCATTGCTATGATGAAACACCTGAAAAAGACAATTTAAGAAAGGATAGATTTATTTTAGATTACATTTTCAGAAATTCTGATTCATTGTGATACGGCATTGTGTTCAACTTTTTTTTAATCATAGCTAGAGAGCAGAACAGAGCAATAACTAGAGGATCCAGGACAATATAAAGTCCTCCATAGTTTTAAGACCACAATGAGTGTCTATCCTGGCTCCATTTTCCACAATCCTTCACCTGCCAGTCATTTATTCAAATCTTTCACTCACTAATGTTTTATTTCTTTCATTACATCAAATTCATCCTGGGGCATTTATTTCTGGAAGATCAGACACACCTTGAAATGTAGTTTACTAATAATCTACTACATATTTTATACAATCAAATGAAATCAATCATCATAATGGCTAATGCCACTCTCTGAAATTAAATTCAACCCTCATACAAATATCCAGAAATCAGATAAAATTTAGTTTTCTTAAAAACAAGTCACTGCCTTAATTTGTTTTGTCAAAAATGAGAAAAGAAAAATCCCTTATTGCCATGAGTAACTCTATTTATCATCACTCATAATCAAAAAGCAAAGTAAAAATATAATGAACATATCAAAGAAACATGGTTTGGGAGCCATGAATCCTCAGATAAAATAAAACAATGATTTGCTTCAGATTTCTTTTACCCAATTTACTTTCTTCAGAATTGCTTGTAACTCCAGTTCAAGGTGATCTATTTGCCTCGGCTTCCTCAGAAACCTGCAAATGCCCTAGCAACCCTAACCCTAACTGCCCCCCCCACACACACACGCACATACACTTTAAAATAAAACACTAAGGATAAAGCTTTTTACAATTTTATTAAATTATTGACTTTTTCATTGACTACACAAATCATAATTTCGATTTCTTCTTCATGAGTACTCTGAATAATATGATTAATATTAAGACCAAAACACATATAAAATAAAGAATAAACAAATCTGTCAAATATACTTATGCAAAATTTCTCCTAAATTATTGCTGATGAATCATCAAGAAAAGCGCTTGCCAATAAGCCTGACAAGAAATTATTTAATCCCAAGAAATTATTTAATCAAAAAAGAAACTCCACATAGTTTTCCTCTAATCCATAACCAACAAAATACAACAAAGAAAACCTCTAACAAAAACAAGCAAATTACTAGAGATAAAATCCCAACAGAGAAACCAGATGGTGGTACACACTTTTAATTTCAGTGAATCTCTGGGAGTTTGAGGTCCACAGAATGAGTTCCATACACATACAGGAAAATCCTGCCTCAAAAAAACAAAAACAAAAACACCTCCATAGGAGAGGATTCCAGAATGTACATATTCTTATCCTACATGGTGATTACATTTTTAAATTTCACACACACACACACACACACACACACACCTTATATTTTTGTCCGTTTTCCAGACAGGGTCTCTCTGTGGCTTTGGACCCTGTCCTGGAACTCACTCTGTAGAGCAGACTGGCCTCAAACTCATAGAGATCTTCCTCCCTCTGCTTCCCAAGTGCTTCACCACTGACCAGAAACACACACATAGTTTTAAGAACTTTAAATTACAATAGTCTCATTAAGGTACACATTATTGCCTTGAAGGGCACTGGTATTGGATACCTTTAATAGCAGCACTCAGGAGGCAGAGAACAAACAGCACATGTCTGTGTATTCCATGCCAGCCTGATCTACAGAGAGAGTTCCAGGATACTGAGAGCTACACAGAGAAACCCTGTATTGGAAAAACCAAAAGTTGGTGGAGATCTATGCCAATTCAGGCTTATTAAGAAATTAGTCTTTATAAAATCAAATTGTTAGTGCTTACTTTAGAGGCCTACCAGTCACCAGTTCAGGCTCTCTGTCTTTGGGGGAAAAAGCTTATTAGTTAAAAGTTCATCAATATTGTTCTACCACATGATAGACTGTGCCAAAATTTCCACTAGCCCATCTGTGAACTATCTAAACCTTCCCTTTCAATACATTATTCAGCCTGCAGATACCTACCTAGGACACAGGTGAAGAATTTTTATTCACTCTTCCTTCCCATCCTCCACTACTATCTCCAGTCTCACCAACTGTCCAAGCCTAGCCTAGTGGACACATCCCTGCACTCACCCTTATCTGGAGTCAATGCTGGTGTGGACCCAGCATTTCTCCTTCCTGTGCACCCTCTCCTGCCTAGCCCATCCCCACTCTATTGTTTATGCCTCTTACTCCCAGAAACAACGTTTTATCATTGCTATGAAGACTCCACAGATGGCAAGGACTAAGATAGGTGAGTCACACTAACCTTCATGTCCTCTACTATGATCTCTCCAATAACATGATCACAAGCACTATTCCTAACACATCAAGTGCATTCAATGCAGACTCCCAACATTTGTTTAAAACCCTCAGTCCTCCACGCCATTCATATCTGTCTCTCCAGACAATTCTGTGTTTGACAGCCTCCTACTTGCATGATTCTCTCTTTTTATCATACTTCCAACTCTCTGTGTACCCCACCTCTAAGTGTGAAGAGGATCCCTTAGCTCTTTCCTGAAACCCCTATCATCCTTTTCTTCCAGCCCACCATATTTATGCCATTCATTGACCTGGACAAGCACTATCTACTAAAAAACTTCAGTCACAACAGTTTCCTAAAGCAAAGAATGGAACAACTATGCTACAAATAGACCAAGTAGCAACACTCAGAATTGCTTCACACATACTAACCCTAGGAATGTAAGCCTACAAAGAAAAAATAAATAAAACAGAATGAAACATAATTAATAAACTCCAGGAAAACACAAACAGTAGAATGACATTTTGAGAGTAATTTGTCTTAAGTACACATATAGAATCACTAAAGAAAACATAAACATATATAAAACTGAAAATGAAAAATTTAGGACATCAAATAAAAATCTCAGATGCAAGCCTCATTAGCAGTATATAAAAAAAATCTCACACATTGCACACATTGAAGACCTTTCACCTGGTCCGTATCTACAGGTAGAAGAAAAGAATGCCTCAAAGAAAAAGAAAATTCAAAAAGAAAGAAACAACAAAAAAAGTCAGCTAAAAATCATCCAGTAATGTAGAATTCCATTAAAAGACCAAATCTACAAAAAATAAAAATATAAGAAACCCTGATTAATGGCACAGAAAATATTTGACAAAAGCCAAGCAATGGTGATGCACGCCTTCATTTCCAGCACTCAAGAAGCAGACGCACTTGGATCTAAGTTTGAGACCAGCTTGGTCTACAGAGTTCCAGGACAGGCTCCAAAGCCACAGACAAACCCTGTCTCAAAAAAACAAACAAACAAAAAACCAAACAAAACACACAAACAAACAAACAAAAAGAATAAGGCTTTTCCAAATTAAAGGAGGCCCCATCAATGTATAGAAAGCATACAGAACAATAAGATCAGAAAAGAAATTCCATGACATAATAATAAAAAGAAAAGCACAAAGACCAAAAAAAGAACATTAAAAAAACTGTAAAGAAAACAGACCATGTAACATATGCACCAGACCCATTATATTAACACACAACTTATTACATTAACACACAACTTCTCAATGAAGATCTTTAAATCCAGATGGCACTGGACAGACGTTCTTAATGTACTTTAAGAGACAACAGACTACTATGCCTGGCAAAACTTTCTTTCAATAAAGAAAACTGTTACAAAATAAAACCTAATTTAAACATTATCTATCTCATCTACAAATCCCAATATACAGAACCCAATAGAAGGAACCTAGAAATTAGCCACACCAAAGAAAAATAAGGAGTAAGTAACACACCAGACTAGCAAATCAAGAGGGAGAGGCACACCAAACAAAATAACAGGCATCAATACACAGTACTCATTCATAACTCAAATTTAATTAATGTTCTCAATTCCTCTCAAAACATAGTGACTAATGAACTATATTAGTAAACACAATCCATTTTCCTGCCACATCCATAAACACACCTCACCAAAGATAAAATGATATAAAAGATTTTCCAGGCAAGAGGTCAGACAAGGCAAACTGGTATAGCTATTTTAATAATAATAGACTAAGCAGCTGGGCGTTGGTGGCACACACATTTAATACCAGCACTCAGGAAGCAGAGGCAGAAGGCAGACTCAAGATCACCTTGGTCTATTGAGTGAGTTCCAGGACACCCAGAACTGTTACACAGAGAAACCCTGTCTCTATAAACGAAAATAAATAAATAAATAAGACGGAACTGGCTTTCTGTTTTCTGACCAGTGTTACTATAGAAAGCACTCTTAACTTCCTACTATAATAAGTTCGCACAAGGACTTGCTACACCCTAAAACTTGTATTGACAAGACCTTTAAATTTGGGGGGCAAAAAGTAGAGTAGAAATGAGATAAATAATCTTGATCCAAATTGTGATCTTGATTATTCAAACCTGGTTATTTATTATTACAGTCAACAGCCCTCTTAAACTACTTTTGTCAAGTATTTTATCACAACAATAAGTAACTGTATGGCTACAAAGAAGGTTCAGTATTTAACACTTATTGTATATGAAGAGAACTCTAATCATATCTGAATTATATTGCTAGCACAGAAGTCAGACACACACAACCCTCACAACACAGACAAACACATAATTAAACTTAAAATAAATGTTTTTTTTTAAAGGCAACTAAGACATTCTCCATTCTTCAAATAACACAGGCTCTTGTACAGAAGTCTGATGACAATATTTAGCTAAAAATAAGAAACTTCATACACAAATTCCTTTCCCACTTTCCACATCCTATCCTTAGAAAATTAGTAATAATTTATTAAAGTATAATGTATACTCAATGACAAACTAAATATAATATACAATCAAAACACAAAGCAAAATTGCTACTGAAATGTGCACTGACCTTCCAGTAGTCAGTCTGTAAACTGTAATATCTCTGGTAAGATGACAATGCTGAAAAAGAAAAATAATTAGTCAAACAGAGCTTCAAGTTTCAACAAAAAAAGATACTAAAAACAAATTTCTCATTTCCCAACAATACCATGAATATTATGAAATGAACTTTGCAGAAAGACCTGTGGAATAAACTGCATAGGCCACAATCTCTGACCCAGATGTGACCTCATGGTTGTAGAAAACTGTAGGCAGGAAATAAAGATTAGGGAAAATGTCCTACAGAGGGAGAAAGAAAAAGAACAAAGAACAAGAAAATATAAAAGAAAAAAAATGGATAAAGATAAGACAGTTGAATAAAGAGCTTGCTCACTCAAGCCCTGCTAAAAACCTGTAACCAAACACGCGAAAAATAAAAATTGTTCATTCTTGAGTCTCATATGTCTGTCTAACACCCCAGGTTCCTGTGATGTCCATGGCTGTAGGGGCTGTGGCAGGTAGGAACAGAAACATGCCTCTATGATTAAAAATAGGTTTGTCCTTGTAGACAGTCTTGAGTTCTATTCCCAGCACCCACTTCTGGTGGCTCACAACCACCTATAAATACAGCTCCAGAAGACCCCAAATCCTCTGCAGGCACCCCAACACTGGCATTTTCAAAAACATCTACACAGACATCTTAATAAAAATGTCATCAGCATCTGAGACTCCCCCCAAAAATGGACTCCTATTAATCTATATATGGAAGTTCTCTCTCTGGAGGAAGGTTGTCCCATCCTGTCAAGGTTCCATCATGCCACACAGGGTTCAACACTGTCTCTTCTAATGCACTCTCATTTTAAGGTTCAGACATGGCCTGAAATGATCTGCAGCTTCCTGAGTCTAAGATTCCTACATGATATTTCCACAACTGTGTTTTAAAAATAAAAAACATTTATTTATAGTTTTATAACTATAATAAACTGGTATAGCACTCCAACTTCCTACTCAAGGAATCATAAATCCATGTTCCTAAGACATAATCAGTTTATCTTTATTATTATTTTTTTAAGATGTTTATATGTATCTTTACTTTGCGTGTGTGGGCATTTTGACCCATGTATTTGCGTGGGGCCCACAGAGTCCAAAAGATGGCACCAGAATCCCAAGAAATGGACTTATGAGCTGCCATGTGAGTGTAGGAATGAAATCTAGATAATCTAGAAAACCAACCAGTATTCCTTTTTGTTTGCTAGTTAGTCTGAAGTTTCAAGACAGGATTTCTATATGTAGCACTGTCTTAGAATTCACTATGTACACCAGATCCATCTGCCTCTGCATCTCAAATGGTGGGACTAAAGGTGTATACTGCCACAGTTGCATCACTGCCACCACCACCACCACCACCCACTATTCTTAAACACAGCCTTCTCTCTTCAATACCACTTTTTATAAATTTTTAATTATGTACAAGTATAGTTTGGGGACAGTGGTATGTGCATATCTGTACAAATAAGTGTCTATTCATTTCAAAACAAGTTGTCATTGTCATCCATCTGAATATCTATAGAGAAAATAGTTCTATAAATACATACAAATCTGAAATACACAAAAAATATTTTCAACATTTGTGAAATTACAATCAAGTGGGTCTAAGGATAAGAAGTCAATCCTTTCTATTTTTTGGGACCCCCACAAACTTAGTTTATTTATAGTGATACCCTCCTATCTTCCTTCATCCATCTTTTCCTCCATCAATTGTAATGAGAGCAAGAAAGTAAGAGGAACAATTGCCAAGATACAGAGCCAGGAAGCTATAGAGAACATAAAAGCAGTATCTGATAGGTAAAATAGAAGTCTCTGTAGGGAGAAGGCAGTAAGGTAAATACAGAAAGATGAATAAGGGTAAACAGGAATAAAAACACCTTTAAAATGTGTTTATCTTTTTAAAAATTCAATATATCTGTATATAAATAGTCACAGTTTTAATAAACATTTATCTAGGCTGACACTGCTCTCTCCAAGAGCCAAAGATCTGCTAACAAAATACCAAATACCAGACATAAGGACAACTCAAGAGTAGTTGGCCAGGGGTTCCAGAAGATTCCCAACAAACACATACAGCCTACTTGCTGTTGCTTTTGGTTGTAGTCAGAGTTTTTGTCCAATCACACAGAGACTTATATTAAATACTGTTTAGCTGATGGCTCAGGGTTATTACTAGCTATCTCTCTCTTGTTGTTAACGCATAACTATGAATCTCTTACAGGAGATACTGATGCTTCATAGTGTCTTCCTTGCAACCTCTCTCCAAGTCCTCTCTCTCCAGAATTCTCTTCATCTCGTAGCTACCTGCCTGACTTCTGAACAATCAGTGTTTTATTCATCAACCAATAAGAGAAACATTTAAGCAGAAGGACATGCCCAATCATTTGGTTACCCCACAGAGATGGAAGGTTATGTCCCTACTGCTAAATACACCATATACTTCAGAAACAGTACTCACAGCCCTCCAGCTACAACTAACCTGAATGCATTCTCTCCAGAGACTTTATGACTGGAAAGCACTACACAAACTTCCAAAGGGGCACAGCCAGTATACCAACCTATCATGCCTATAAATCACAACAATGAACAGTGTAACACAGTAACTAACTCTGTTGGTGCAGTAATGGCATTCATACCTTGACAGTAACCAATATCTCTGTATTTAGACTTATGACTCACACAACAAAAAGAAATCATGTATTGTGCTGGAAACCCATCAACTATCCAGACCTAGTGAAATCATGGCTCTTGAGGTAGAATGTCCTGTGGACACTCTCACTTCTGCTTCCAGCCCATGTCTGTTCCTTTAGGTTAGCCACCAATCCCTAGAAGCACTTTCTACCAGGAACCTCCAATGGGCACACCCAACTGGGCCTCAGGAAATACTTAAGCCTCTTTCTGTCATCCATTACAATCTCTCTAGGCTCACTCCTGCCCTGTAAGCACCCAGAAGACTCCACAAAACATTGCAGTACACCCAGCTTTTATCCTATGAACATTTCACCACAAGCACAATCACTCATCCCTATTCCTTCAAATCAGCCCCGATATCTAAAAACACTTTCTACCCAGGACTAACAATAGCCACCACACCTGGCAATCACATTATGCTCCCTGTCATCTTCTACGATTTTTCCATTCTCACCCTCAAGCAGATTACAGGTTGTCATGCCTCCCAATTTAATATATTTACTTGGAAACCCCAACTTTGGTTCAGACCAAAATCCCCTAGCACTTTTATCCCTGTCTTTCTAGATAAGTCTGTGCCTTACTATAACCAACTTGCAGGATCCCCTCTTCCTAATTCACATCCAACTCCCAGAGGATCCTAAATCTTAGTATGGACAACAAAATGTGTCCAGGCAGCATGAAGACACAGTGACACATGTGAACTTCTGAAACCTCAAAGCCCATTCCCAGTGACACAGTTCCTCCAACAATGCCATGGCTACTCCAAAAAGGTCACACCTCCTAATAGCACCACTCACCATGAGCCTATGGGGGCCATATCATTCAAACCACCATTCAAAGAGAAAATTGCTCAACCACATTCATTGCTGCTCTATTCACAACAGCCAGAAACTATAAACAACTTAAATAGTCCTCAACAGATTAAAAAAGACTGTGAAAACATGTTATTTATACAATGAAACATTATTCACATATTTAGAAAAGAAATAAAAAACAAAATCATGATATTTCAGGTAAATAGATGGGAGTTAGAAAAAAATCATCCTGAGTGAATTAACCCAGAATACAAAACACACATACTGTATATATTGTATTTATGTTACAGTCATATACCTTGATTTTCTTGGGACTCCTAACAGAGGTTGTCTCTGACTCTTTTCCAGGCTTTTGGATCCTGCTCCTCAAAACTTTAATACATGAAGTACTTACTCTTACTGAAAAGTGATATGCCATGCTTTACTGATATCCACAGGAGGTCTACCATTTTCTGAATAGAAACAGACAGCAGTGGATTGGGGGCCAGAGAGGAGGTTGAGAGGAGCTGGAAGGAGGATGGCAGGGAAGCTGCAGTCAGAATTTTAAAATTAAATAAACAAATGAATGACTAAATAGATAAATAAATGCAAAAAAATCAGATTCAAAATAAGATTAATGTGAGCTCAAATTTGTCATAATTATATCCTAGTAATATAACAAGGACCCAAACTGAAGCCATTTTGGATAGAATTTCCAATTTGAATAATGTAAATGGAGTTCTCAATTGGTCTAAACAACAAAATGGAGTCAGATATACAGGAAAATTCTGAGACAGCAGAGAGAAGGAGCAAGCCAAAGCCACCTTTACCTCATTAACTTTCCAGCAGAAAAAAAGGGGGTGTTCCTGTTTTTTTCCCACTTATATCCTCTCCACATAGCCATCTCCCTTCATGTTTGTATGTACAGACCCCAACAAGACTTATACCACCAAGTAAAACCTTACAGAGTCATTAGAACCTCCAATAATCAAGGGCTATTGGTTGCTTTCAACAACATGAATATAAGAACCTACTGCTGATAGCAATACTTACATCACAGAACCCAAAGCAGAGCTGGTGGACACTAGAAACTTCACCCCTACTGAGTAGCATTCATGGTGCTACAAGATACATGCTATTGTCCCTTTCTTAAAAGTTAAAGGGCCTAGAGAGAGAAATCAGCGCTGAAGAATGATTGTGGAGGACACAAATTTGACTAGCACTGTACTACCTGGCTCACAATGATCCACACATCAGCTTCAGAGGATTCAATGCCTTCCTTTAGACTACAAAATAATTATTCCCTTAAAGAGATAATACATTTAAACTTCCCAAAAGTCCCTCTCCTAATTTACTATCTCCCAACATAATCTGCTAAACCAGCCCACCTTTTCCAAGTTTTAACTCTATCTCTTCTGATAAGACATCAAAATTCTAAACTGGCTTTCTAAGATGAATCTTATTCAACTCACAAGCCTAGCACCAGACCTAGTATCTGTAAATCCTCTTTTTTCCCAGATGCTGCCTTCTTCTCCCATCTTTCTTGTTCAAAACTGTCATCTCTACACCCACAGACCTAGCATTTGGCCCATGGTTTGAAAGCCATCTTCCACTGGCCCAACTAAATAGTTCATACACCTGTTGTACCTGACCCAATTCCAGTGACACACCCCTGTGCTTCCTAACATAAAGAAGGGCATATTCTCACATAAAGGACTACCAAAGAAAGAAGTCCACATGCCCATGTCAATCAAAAAAAAAAAAAGGAATCCATGAAAGTTCAACACAGCATGTCTCCCATTAAACCCACTAATCCTATAAATTCTTTAACTATCTAGATGTACAAAGAGGATGAACCTTAGTACACAATATTTTTTTTTTTTTTTTTTTTTTTTTTTGTGACACAGGGTTTCTCTGTGTAGCTGTGAATCCTATTCTAGAACTCTGTAGACCAGGCTGGCCTTTAACTCACAGAGATCCACTTGTCTCTACCTCCTAAGTGCTGGAATTAAAGGCATACACCACCACTGCCCTGCTGAACTTTGGACTTTTAAACACTGCTGATACTGTCAAGATGACTGGCATACACCAAATCTCTAACAAAATCAAATATGTGGACACCTTCAATGGATCACTAGCACTACAGACTATGTAGCTAGTTCCAGACCAGCCAGGCAAGGACAGACACTGTGTGCTGCATAATTTTATGTCAATAAAATTGACACAAGCTAAAGTTATACAAGAGCCAGATCTCTGTGAGTTCCAGGACAGGCTCCAAAGCTACACAGACAAAACCCTGCCTCAAAACCCCTCCCCACAATAAAAAAAAAAAAAAAAAAAAAAAGAAGAAGAAAGAAGAAGAAAGAAGAAGAAGAAGAAGAAGAAGGAGGAGGAGGAAGAGGAGGAGGAGGAAGGAAGGAAGGAAGGAAGGAAGAGCTAGCCAGTAATATGCACATCCCTCCATGGCATCTGCATCAACTCCTGTCCCAGGTTCTTATCCTGACTTCCTTCAGTGATGTAAGCTGGAAATGTAAGCTGAATAAACACAATGTCAATAAAGGTAGCCAATAACCCCTCCCACACCCTCTCATCCCCACTCTCCAGTATCCCTCCCTCCTGCCCAGACAGGGTTTTTCTATGTGGCCTTAACAGACAGCATCTTACAGTGAAAGGTACTAAGCAAATAGGACCAGGAAGCAAACAAGCACTATTATTATAATACAACAAAATAAACTACATATTAAAACTGAGCAGAAAAGGAAAAGAAGTACACTTCATTCTAATAAGGAGGCCAGTAAATAAATAATAGTTTATGATACTACACATACATGCCCCAAACTCTAAAAGCAAAGTACTGGGAAGTAAAGAGAGATTGAAAAACAAACAAAAAAGTAATGTGTATGTTTTTTTTTAATAATGGATGATTTCTATGCCTTACTGCCCCCAATAAAATATCACCTAGGCAAATACTAATAATGGAGGTAATGCCATTCCAAACTTTAAAATATATTTATAGAGCTATAGTATTAAAAACAAAATGGCACTGACACAAAAACAGACATGTTGGACAATGGAATAAAACAAAAAACCCAAATACAAATACACATAATTCCAATCATCTGATATTTGACAAAGAAGCCAAAAATATACATGGAAAAAAGACAACATTTTGACAATGCATCTCAAAAACTTGATGTATGCAGGCAAATGAATGAAATTAGAACCATATCTATTTTCCAGAATAAAAATTAGGTCCAAAAAGATACGACCTCAATTTGCATCCTAATACTTAAATTGCTAGAAGAAAAATTTACCAGTACCATACAAGATACAGGTTTTGATAGGACTTTGTTCAAATGCAAGGAATTAAGGTACACCATTAAATAGGTGAATACATAATAGGACCAACATGGGGGGGATTCCGCATAAAACTCAAAATGTTTTGTGCAACTAAGAAAATAATCAAGAGTGATTAAAAGCCTTAAGAATATAAGATATTTATAATCTAAACATTTGACAAGTTTTAAGTTTTAATATCTAGAATATTTCCAAAAATTATTCAAAAAAAGTGAAGAACCAAAAATTAAAATTAATAAAAGTTTAAAAATTTGGGGCCCTAAATCTATACAGAGAAAGGAAACTTCTAATGGTAAAGGAAAATTTAACTCCTTAAATTGGGAGTGCCATGACTGGCACCTGAGCCCCCTCTCAGAGGAGGGGAATTGACTGTCCACCACACTTATGTCAAGCATTCCTATATGTCTGCTAATTGCAGGTCATAAATGTTCCCTGATAGTTGTAAAGATCCCTCCACCCAGGGGATAACAGATAGACCCTGTGACCCTGTAACCCTGCAAACTTACTCAAATGTATCTTACTTAAAATATCTTACTTAAAATAGTGCTTTACTCTATATTTTGTGGCCTTCAGCCTTGTGGTCCGCCCCTTCAAAAGCTTCTGTTTGCCTAGCTGACATCTCATTCCCTTCCCATCCCATCCCTCCCATCAAGCTAGACAGCTTAAACAATAAAAAGAAACATTTGTTTTTGCATTGGAATTGTCTGGCACCTTGGGTTGCTCTGGGACTTTGCAAACATGGCACAACAAGACAACCCCCCCCAAAAAAGAATAATAATAATCAAAACAATACAAGAGCTATTTAATTCCAGCACTTGGAAGGCAGAAAAAGTTAACATATGTGAGTTAAGACCAACAGGGTCTCCAAGGCTACTGAGAAACCCTGCCTCAAAAACTCAAATAAATAAATAAATAAATAAATAAATAAATAAATAAATAAATAGGAAAAGGAAAAGAAAACTGGGGAGGAAGACCTATAACTGGAATGGTGGAGAGAAGTCAATACAAAAAGAAGGAAAGAGGAGGAACAAAGCACACCAAAGTTGTTTGATAAAGCCTCAGAGAATAAAATATTTTAGATTTACCTAACTAAAACTATACAAAATACATAACTTTATGTTTACACAGATGTCATTGTCCATCAAGACAGCTGCATTCCATCTTGGCACAAGGACAGAAAGTTCAAAGTTGTCCTCAGCAAGTTATAAGACCTAAAGGTCAAAGGTGTGGCTACAGTAGGATGTTTGGCTGTCTTAGTCTAAATATATGATTCTTGGCTCTTGGCCTTTCTGCTTTTTAACCACCACTTTTGGAATACCTGGACCACAGCTATAAGGCACTATAACAATTCCCTTTTAATATATTATAGATTCATTCTGTAAGTTCTGTTCTTCATTATAACCTGGCAGATAAACCTTGTAAGTCATTATTCAATACAAAACGGTCAGCCCTGAAATCACATACAAACAAACAAACAAAAAAAAAAAAAAAAAAACACTTACAAGCTGACCTTACATTTAACAATAGCAACAATAATAAAAATCTAGGTTATCAGTATCAGAGTGAGAAGATATGGGAAACTCTTGATGGAGAAAAAGGTAAGGGAAGTGATATAATTATATTCTAACCAATATATTTAATGACTGTAACTTAAAGTAAACATATATTTGCTATTAACTTTACACCTATTATAACTTTTAGTATGATGAAAAGTCCTCAGGCACACAGTTACCTAAAATCCGATTACAAAAATGCCTATGAAAAAGAATAAAAGACAAGTAGCATAAGTGCACATTTAGTACAAAAAATATATACTTTTTTTTTAACAAGAAATGCTGGGCTACTGACAGAACTATGCCTATTACTTGCCTGCTTTGTCTGAAGTCCTACGTTCCTTCCCTTGCACACTATAAGAAGGTGAAGAGCAGGGATGGGGTGGCAAGAAAAGAAGAGTGAGAGGAAAGAGAAGGAGGACAGGGAGGGAGTCAGCGGGGCAGGGAGGAAGGATGAATGATGAATATATGAAAGTGGTGCTTTATAGCAGGCCTCAAAAGGTAAGTTTTTACAAGTTTAAAAATGAAAATAATGATTTTATACCTAGTAATCAATTGCTGGATACTTTAGGGCAATTGAATTGTATCAATAATTAATTAATAAATTTTTTTTGAGTTATGTTACTATCAAAAAACCAGTCAAATGGCTTAAGTAAGTCTGTTCTTTAAAAAAATTAATGTATTTTAAAGTTAGAATATATAGTTGACAATCAGTTAAAAGTGCTCTATCAATAAACAAAGGTTTGCAACTCAAACAAGACTACCTAAAAATAGTATATTCACTATATGATTCCACCTAAGAAGTCTCACCCATATGGCTGCCTAAACAATATCCCAGCATAGACACCATCATAAATATGATAAAAATCCCAAAATCTATGTCCAAAAAATAAAATTAGGGAAAGAGCTTCTAAGCAATATATCAAACTTACAGGTTTGATCTTAGCACTATAAGAAAACAATAATAGATTACTGATTTTGGACAAATACATTACAAAAATGTTCAAAGGGGGAGTATTATAAACTCATCAAATGTATTGAATATTTGCATATAGTTAGATTAAAATTTTTCACATTTCCATATAGTAAGTAGAAAATACCTCCAATAACAAAAGCCTCTATAGTTTTAAGTAAAAATTATATAAGCCCAAAATAGATATTTAAAATTACCTTTTGAATAATCTTCCAGTAAGAGATTGAAATGACCTAGTTGACAAAAGTAATCAGACTCCACTTTTCCTTCAGCTTTCACTATTAAAGACTCATAGCAGTGAATAGCCTAAAAATAAAATATATAAACATTAAAACATAAAATAAAACTCTACATTAGAATTAGTACAAATCAGCCAGGCATTGATGATGTATGTCACCAATCCTCAAGAGGAAGGTGATGTCTGTGAGTTTAAGAGCAGCCTGGTCTACAGAGTGAGTTCAGGACAGCCAGGACTGTGATACAGAGAAACCCTGTCTCAAACAAACAAACAAAAACAGTAAAATTTTATCTCAAAGAATGCATATAATTTGACTATAAATCATAACTGTATTCCCTACGAAGGACAGAGGATTTCACACAGTATAAGTAAAGACTTCTTTATGACCAAAAGATGGTAAAGAAGTGTCAATGAGGATTATAATCTCAGCACTTGAGGAAGCAGAGTTAAGTATCTCTGTGAGTTTGAGGGCAACATACATAGTAAGTGCCGTGATATCGTATGTGAAAAAAAATAAGGAAAAGAAGAAACAAAAAAGACTCCTCTATGATAATCAACAAGAATATTCTGCATATTGTTATCTTTAAAACAAAGAAGATAAGGAAATATAAAGATGGCTTATTGGTTAAGAGTCATGCTGTTGTTACAGAAAATCAGAGCTCAGTTCCCAACACCAATATCAGGTAGCTTAGACTGAAAACCTCTGGCCTCCTAAGACATCTGTACTCACATGCATATACCCACAAAAAGACTTATACACAAACAGATACACCATATAATTTTTAAAATGTATTTTAAAAAAGAAAAAAATTCAACAAAATAAAGGAATTCATTATTAAATGTATACAAGTGTCACATGGCTAAATTGTTAAATTGATCCTTGTCAATCAATGCCTGGTTCTCAGTTGGTGCAACTCTGAGGTGTGACCTTAGAAGAGGTATATCACTCCAGTCAGCCTTTGAACTTTGAAATAAACTTTGAAAGCTCATTTCCAATCAGCTTTCTCTGCCTCCCCTTTGCAGATGAAGTGGCCTGTTCCTGCCACTTAAATACTTCCTTTTCTGTTTGTTTTTTGGAAATTTTTTTTTTTTTAAGTCTTGTTTTGTTTTGACACAGGGTTTCTCTGTGTAGCCATGCTGTCCTGGAACTCACTCTATACACCACCAGGCTGGCCACAAACTCAGAGATCTGACTGCCTGAGATAAAGGACGTGTGCCATCACTGCCCAGCACTTTTATGATTTCCAATATATAGATAGGTACCTAACAATTATTTATTCAAACTCAGGCATAATTCTTGTTAGAAAAATTTTAGCATTTAAGGTAGCATACATTTGTTCAATACTCCTCTTTCCATATTTCAAACACAATCCAATACTATCTATACAATATATATACTAAAGTAAAAGCAGACATCTTATTTATTAAGACTCAGACTCTAAATAATAAAAGAGTCTGAGACTAACATTAAGTAGTAACTTTTTATACAAATATGTTAGAACCTACCTCATTGTGGAGAATGGCTATTTCAAGGAAGACAAGCAGCATGTAAAAGTTATTACTTAACAAAAAAGTGTATCTATACATACACAGAGAAAGAGACATCATATAATAAGACACTAAGGCAGGTTACACCACAACCAGTTCTCTTTAACTATTGTAAAAACAAAAGAACAAAACCATACCTTCCATTTCCTGTCCCTCTTGCAGTATATTTGTTTGTTTGGTTTTTTGTTTGTTTGTTTGTTTTGTTTTTTTGAGACAGGGTTTCTCTGTATTGCTTTGGAAACTGTCTTAAACAGTCTGTAAATCAGGCTGGAATGGAAGTCACAGAGATCTGTCTGCCTCTGTCTACCAAGTGCTAGGATTGAAGGTGTGCACTACCAATGCCTGGTGCAGTGTATTTTCTTTAGTAAGCCATTTTTGTTTGTTTGTTTTGTCTGTTCTGATCTGGTAAACCATTGGGGCTATAGTTCCTGGGGGTCTCTCATGCTTTTTTTCTCTTTTGTTAAACAAACAAAAAAGAGGTAAGGCATCCAGTTGGTTCTTGAAATTTAAAATCATGTTTCTTCTTTTAATTTTTTTGAATTAAATACTTTATATGTTGTATCTTTAATAGAAACATTGAAAATTAAATACAAAAACATAATTCCTTTTTTTCTCTGTAACTGAGCCTTATGTTGCTAAAACTGACCTGAAATTCACTATGTACCTGAGGATGACTATAATTTCTGATCCTACTGACTTCTGGATAGAGCTAGAATTGCAATGCACCACTGTTCCAAAAGATATAATGAAGGGATCCAGCCCTTGGCTTTCTATATTTTAGGAAAATAATGAAATATATTCTCTAAGCCCATGATTTCTTAAATCAGTAAATCCATGAAGAAATATTTATTCCCCACCCCATTATTTAAGGGGATTTAAGACAATTAACATAAGTAATATTGTTTTCATTGCTATAAAAAACTTTTAAAAGCCTTTAAGAAAGCCAGGCAGTGGTGGTACAGGTCTTTAATCACAGCACTCAGGAGACACTCAGGTGGATTATTGTGAGTTCAAGCTCACCCTAGTCTATAAGAACTATTACAGTTATGAAGTAGCAACAAAATAATTTTATAATTTTGGGTCACCACAACATGAAGATCTATATTAAAGGGACACAGCATTAGGAATATATAAGAGTTATTAAGAATCCATAAAAGTATAAGAATACATATTATCCAATAAAGGTTAATAAAGCCACAAAACTCACAACTGTTCTCAAAGACCAGTGGCACTTGATAGTTTCTCATTCTCATATTATGTTTTTAGTTTCTCATTTTTAAAATGGTATTGCAATTACAATTCAGAGAAATACAAAAGATATCTATCAAAATTTAAAAAGTATTCATTAACAGTGAAATTTGTATTTCAAAGCACCTGAAAATGTCATATTCAATTTAAATAAAGTAAGGTGCTCTTCCATATGATCTGTCCTTGATGGCACCAGACTTGCTTAAGCAGAGCAGTCAAAACACCAAATACATAAAGTGAGAGTCCAAATTGGTGGTTTAGCTGCCAAGCTATACATGGTGGAAGAAGAAAACTGATCTCTACAAGTTGTCCTATGACTTCCACATATAAGCATGTACAAAAGAAAGAAGTGGTGATCTGACCAGTGAAAAAGCAGAACGAGGGGTATTTTTGTCCAGGACAACAAGGGCTAATTAGCAGTCACTCCAAAACTACACTCAATATCAACACCTTTTTTTTTTTTAATGTATGATAATTAATATTCTGAAAGTGTCAATTTTGTTTTTGTGTTTCAAGACAGGGTTTCTCTGTATTGTTCTGGAGCCTGTCCTGGAACTCGCTCTATAGACCATGCTGGTCTAGAACTCACAAAGATCTACCTGTCTCTGCCTCCCAATTTTAAGATATAGTTGATTAACAATATAAATCTTCAAATGCTAGATGAAACTACTTTTTTTTGTTTTCACCATAAATGCTATTAGATAAAAATGTACATAAACATGGAATATTACCTAGTAACCTATTGATAAACAGAAAGATTATTTCCTACAAATATCACTTTAATAATCAAGTTTAAAGAGCCAAGTGGTGGTGGTGCACACCTTTAATCCCAGGACATGCGACAAAGAGGCAGATGGATCTGTGTGAGTTTGAGGGCAGTGTGGTCTACAGAGTAAGTTTCAGGACAGTCAAGGCTTCACAGAGGAACCCTGTCAAAAAAAAAAAAAGAAAAGGAAGAAAGAAAAGAAAAAGAAAAAAATTGCTTAAAGAGATAGTGCAGGCTTTTTAAAAGGCTAGATTTAAAAAAATTAAAAGGCTAGATTCACAACAATCACCCCCCCCCCAAGAAAAGTGTTTCTATATGTAAAATACTTCAATGTTAGCAACAAATTACCAAGTTTATAGTGTCTGGTTTCAGCTACAAGTATACATACACATACATACATGCATACATACATACATACACACACACACAAACACACACACACAGTGGACACTGTATGTATGTCATCAATTCTTTGGTACTTTTATGGCTATCAAGAATGTCTTTTGAAAGTAGGGAGTCGCTAATTCCATTCTTTGTTTGTTTGTTTTTTGTTTATTTGTTTTTGTTTGTTTGTTTGTTTTTCGAGACAGGGTTTCTCTGTGGCTTTGGAGCCTATCCTGGAACTAGTTTTTGTAGATCAGGCTGGTCTGGCACTCAGGGAGCTCTGCCTGCCTCTGTCTGCCTCAGGAGTGCTGGGATTAAAGGTGTGCTCCACCACCGCCCAGCTGGTAATTCTATTTTTTTAATAGGGATTAATTTTGATTAAACTGTACTAGGCAGGTTTAACTTACTGCTAATATTGCCATTTTCCTCTCTAAAACTTGATTTCATTTCTCCTCCCACTATTTCCCGCCATCTTGAGTGATACCAGCAGCCATTAACTAAACAGAGTGCCAACTTTCAATGCCTTCCGGTCCGGAGAGAAAACTACAAAGAAAAAAAAGTTAATTTTGCAAAATGGTATTTGCAGTGTTTTCTACGGTTACTCCATGTTTAAAAAAAAAAAAAAAAGAGTTACTTTTTTGTCTATACAAACTGATCGTCTCCGTTATCTGTAAATGGTCCGTTATGGCAAAAGGTAAATGTAGAGGATTAAATATGTGCATATAAGTGGCTGCAACAACCAAGATTGACTTTCATAACATGAGATGAGAAAGTGGGAATCTATCCCTGAACTCACCAAAAAGCTTTAAAGAAATTAATGGTTTGGACTGCTAGGTTGAGGCAGGGCCTGAAACTATCAGGAAGATAAGGATAAACGAAAAAAATAAAGAAAGCAAAACTGGTCTTATAATGTCCTAAAGGCTATAATGGGCAATTTCTGGGTAGGGAGAGACTCGGGCCTAGGACCCTGAAAGCTTAAGCAAAATATGTAAGTAATTCAGTGCATACGTAGTTGCTGTACCTTGTTCAATAGCGTCTTCGTCCTGGCGCCATCTTCGGTTTGGCTTAAGAATCCGAAAAGGCTGCTGTGAAAGAAATACATGCTTTTTGATAATACTCACAGAAAGACAAGAGTAAGAAACATACCAAAACATAGATAAAAGCTAAGGCTTACGATAGGAAAGTCGCTACCGCAAGCGATGTAGTCAGAACTTCTTGGACAGTGTCGTGAACACAGGAGATACTCGTCAATGTTAGTAGGTCCTTACCTATCCAATGCAGAGAGCGCCTTCTTCTCTTCGACTGTGAGACTGAACGATCCCTCTTCGCCTTCGATACTCGCATTTTCCGCCGCCATTTTCTTTTCCTCATCACCCAAGACAGCAGCAGTAGCGAGGGACAATCCGTATGATTTCATTAAAACGCAAAAAAGTGCCTACGTCCTACGTCTGCGCACATCCAACACGAGTCCGAGTCTTGATACGATAGTTTCAATCGATGCTTGAAACTAACACGCCAACTTTATCGCGGCAGCTGTGACCACGACAAACTCCGAGGCATAGGAGAAAGCTGCTGACAATATTACGTTACATCACGACTCAGGTGGTGATTAAAAGAATCAGGAAGCAGGCATTGTTGTAGAACCTACCCGAGATTCTTAGAATATCAAACTTGGATACCATCTGTATAAAGTTGTTGTAATAGTGTCGGTGTGAGCCACACGCAGCTACCGAGACCTCGCCGCAAAGCTAGACAGATTTACCAATAGAAGCAACCGGTTTATCTCACGTGACTTTTGTTGACTTACGTCATGACCGGCGAAGCTAAACTTGCTAGTTCTCCACCCCTACCTCTTCCTGAGAGCTCCATAGACTACTTTGAAACTACTTTTACATATGCTAAGTAACTCTTTTTAATACGATTAAGTATCCGGGACCTTTCACTGCAATGCTACTTTGGTTTCATGAGGAACAAACACCAGTAAAGAAAATTATATCAAGTATTTTCTTCAGTGTACTTGACTGCCAAGCAGCAACCTAACAATTTTTGTTTTCTTTTTGTATAATTTTACTTTCCTGTTGGACAGACAGGTGAAATTCCCACAATTTCTCCTTCCTTCTACTAGTTACAGCAAACCATAAAAACAAAAATTTGAGTTAATGTGTCACACTTTGAGAAAACAAAATTCATACATCTACAATTAAGCTTCCAATTAAGCTTCCTTAATTGTATTCTGTAACTGCATTCATTTATCATCCATACATTCAATCACAACAAAACAAATTTCCAGAAACCACCCACAATTGCATTCTGGAAAGCTCTTTACGGACACTCCAACTATTTATTTATTAAATATACAGTATTCAGAGACTTAAATGAGACTAAATAGTGCAATACCTGGTAGGATAAGGAGGCAACTAAATTGGATCAGTAAAGACTGAGTAAAAAGTAGTATAACTAGAATTGCTTCTAGCTTACTATTAATACCAGTGAAAGAGATTAGGGACCAGAAGAATAGCATAAAGATGAAAATGTTCCTCAAAATATAATAAAAAAAGTAATTTTGCTTCCTGTTCCCTCTAGTGTTACCAGAGACTCATTTGTAAATACAAACTGCATGAGAGTTCATAAAGTTATAGGGTTCAGTCTTTAAAGGGAGTTAGCCTTTCTGTTAACCCAGGCTGAGTTGAAATTTCCTAAATAATCCAAAATAATTTGCATTTTTTGCAATCCTTCTGATTCTGACTTCCAGTACTATGATTATAAATAGATAAGTATTACCATACTTAGCAAAGACAAAATTTTGCTACAAAACAAACCTACTTTTTAAAAGTTTGTCTTGTTTGTTTTGGAGTCAGGGTTTCTCTGTATTGTTCTGGAGCCTGTCCTGGAACTTGCTTTGTAGATAAGGCTGGAATCAACTCAGAGAGATCTGCCTGTCCCTGCCTTTTGAGTCCTGGGACTAAAAGTGTGAGACACCAGTAAGAAGCCCTAGACATCAGCCAACAGTTTAATAATTAATATATTATTTATGTGTTTATTTGTGGCTGAAGCAGTGGTGAGACCTGGTAGGAAAGGACCTCCAGCAACAACAATTTACCATTAAATATATGAGTTACGAGTTTGCTGATCTAGCATTCATATCTTCCTGCCATGATATTCCTTCTAGAACTGCAATTGTAAAGTTAACCAATCATGGCATTTTTATCACAGCACTATGGAAGTAACTAATACAGGTAGGCTCTGCTCTTTTTCCTCTGTGTGTGTGTGTGTGTGTGTGTGTTTTCTTCTACAGATAGGAACAATGTCAATTGCAAATGGGAAAGCTATACAAAAGAGATAAAAAGAAATGGCTTAGATAATGAGCAACAATAATCCAGTCACAACCCAGAGGCCTTTAGCTCTCACTCTGGAGTCACTCCATTCAGATATCAATTGCTCACAGTTGCCAGCTAAAACAAACAGCACCTGGAATGAAGAAGGCAAAAAAGGTTCCCCATCTGTGCCTCCAAATGCAATGCTAGAATTTTATTTATTTATTTATTTATTTATTTATTTATTTATTTATTTTTGGTTTTTCCAGACAGGGTTTCTCTGTGTAGCAGTTTTGGAGCCTGTCCTGGAACTAGCACTGTAGACCAGGCTGGTCTCAAACTCACAGAGATCCACCTGACTCTGCCTCCTGAGTGCTGGGATTAAAGGCGTGAGCCAGCTACAAATATTTTGTAAACAATTTTATTGTCCTCCAATTCTGTTCACCTCTTGGTACTCCCATATCCTTCTGTCATCCCTGCCGAAACACTTTCCACATAAGTAAACAAAACAAAGTAAGCAAGCAAACAAACAAAAGCAAATTCCAAAACACAAACACAACAGAAAAATCTCTTTGCTTCTGAAGCAACTCTTGATTTGTCCTGCTGGCAATAGAAGCTTTGGTGTGCCATATAGTATAATCCTTTTTTGTCCCATCAGTTTATTGGCAAATGTTCATTGCAATGAGTCACTGGTCTGGTTCAAGGCATCTGGTTTCTGGTTCACCATCATCACTGGATCCTCATCCAAACTCCTCTGGGATATCCTGTGACTGCCAAGACTCTTGGAAATCCTGAGGGTATCTTCCGATAGAACAAGTCCCTTCACTAACTCAGCAGGTCCTCATGGGGTAGATGCTGGAGGCTATATCTCCACTATGCAGGGGTCAGCTTTCTTGCTATAGTGACCAGTGGGTGGCTAGGACAGCTTTCCCAGGACAGTGAAGGGTGGAGCCAGCTCAGCATGGCCCTCCAATTTCATGCTACATGTTGCCTAAGGCCTTCTGAGGTGACACAGGCCACAGACAACACATAAACTGTGGCTATAGCTGGATCATGGACCAGTAGCTCAGGCCCAGTTGAAATCCTGGCTTTGGGTAAAGAGACTGGCCACTCAAATGGGAATAGTTGTGTCACTAACCTTGATACTCTGACTGTTGATGGCAATGCAGGACCCAGACTTCAGCACACACCCAATGGACTCCTACATTGTCCTCAATGGTGGCTGGATCTGGATATCACCACTGACCCAATGGCAGTATGGTCCTGAGACACCAACTTTGCTCTCAATCTCAGGTGTCTGTATGGCCTTCAATGGTAATCATCACAGACCCTGGCTGCAGCAGGGCCATTGATCCTGCCATGTCCCTCACCTGCATTTATGACCTGGATGTCACCATGACCTTGAGCCACTCAGATTTGAATGCATCCTGGTCCTCAGACACCAACCTTGATTTAGGTGCCTAATTGGACTCTGCACATCCTCATGGTGCTTGGTGACAAGAGCCTCATACATCAATGCAGATCCTGGTTGCTATAGGACTATGGACACAGACATGCCCCATCACAGCACCAGCCTGTGTAAGGATGGAAAAATTTAGCCTAATTTTCCCTGGATTCCGCCCCCTAGCAGTGAGTAGGCAAAAGGTCATTCTTGACTGTTTATGACAGGGTGGGTTACTGACAGCACCTGTGAGTGAATGAGAACAGGAACTGAGCCATGCCACACTACCCAGAAGCCCTAGCAAAAGCAGACTTCCTGGCAAAGAGCGGGCTTGGATAGTTCAAATTGATTGGTCCACACTGGATGCTATTGAGATGACTGGTTTGTAAATATGCACGCTTTGTTATAACCCTGTAAAAGCTGTTGAACCCTGTACCCAGGGTTCCCAGTCCTTTACCCCAGTATGGCTGTGGACCCCGGTGCACTGGAATATAAAAGACCTCATGCTTTTACATCAAGACCACTTCACATGAGTGATTTGGGGGGGGGGCGCCTTTCTGAGTCGGGGCGTGAGGGTTCGAGCCCTCCGCGGGTCTTTCACCTAGGCCCAAATAACACCATAGTTCTGGGTAGCAATGCAGGCCATACTGGAAATATTTTGAGGTATGAAGATTAAGGTATTTGTCAGATTAGAAATGATACAAATAGTAACTCCCACCCCCCCTCAGCAGGGTTTCTCTGTATAGTTTTGGAATCTGTCCTGGAACTAGCTCTGTAGATCAGGCTGGCCTCAAACTCAGAGATCTGCCTGCCTCTGCCTCCTGAGAGCTCAGATTAAAGGCATGTCCCAACACCTGGCTACAAATATTTTAATTTCTGATATTGCATGTATCGGTGTGTGCATACTTTAGAATATTGAAAGGGAAAAATTAATAAAAGTCTAAAACATAGACTTGAAAGTCAATATAGGAAAAAGAAAATTTCAAAGGCAGCCTGACAGATAAGGCTAAACAAAGAACTGGGTACAAAGGCCTGGGGTCAGATAGCAGCCCCCCCCCCCCAGATATCTCAACATTTCTCTGTTCTAAAGATCACATAGTTGTCAATTCTTAGTTATAAAAGTCCTTGCCTAGGAGATACTTAGCTAAATTATTTCCTCTACAGCTTCCTGCTTAATTGCATCCTGACTAAACATACAGTTTCATCCTATATAACCATAAAATCTTTGTAATCTCAAATCCAATCTTTTGAACTTTCCCCTTTAAAAATCCCCTTAGCCAAAAAGCAACACTCTGCTTGTTCCTGAATGGGCAGGGTCTGAGTTGTAACTCATAATAAAGAAAGCTTTGTTCTTGTCATCCCCTTGACGGCAGTATTTTTTGGGGTTCTGAGCATAACAATGTATGTGTAGAGATCAGATGATGAAGGGGTAGTAGTAATCCAGGGTCATCTGGAAGAATGAACTCTTAACCAGCCAGCTATTGCCTAAAAATAAAATTGTTTCTTGGTCATAATGGGCCACAGATTCCCCCCATCCTGGAAACTGAATTTAGGGATTCATTTTTGCTAAGTAAAGATTCTGTCAGGTGGTGATGGCTCACACCTTTAATCCCAGCACTGGGGAGGCAGAGGCAGGTGGATCTCTGGGAGTTTGAGGCCAGCCTGGTCTACAGAATGAGCTTCATGATAGCATGTCAAACAGTAAGACCCTGTCTCAGACAAACAAACAAAAACACCCATTCTATTACATGTGCCTTGCCCCACATACGGATTTTATTAGATAAGTGAACATTCACTAATT